TTTCAGCTGACAACACTAGAAATCTCTACGGAAATATAACAAAGTATATTAGCCTTTACTATTTGAATAAAATCCATCATAGTTCTGAGCTGGTCTTCGGCTGCTACTTGAGGTATACTCCACCTTTGTATTCACTCCCTTTTCTGCTCCTTTGTTAGAACACATGCTACTCATTAGTAGCATGGATGATATGGGAAATAAGAATGTTGAAATTGTATTGAATACCTTCCAGATGATCATATCAAACAAAGTTGGATCTGCATGAAGATTGACTTTAAAATATTCATAGTACTTTGGAGTGGAAAAATAATTCAATGCTGATCAGTTCACTAAAATTCTAAATTCACTAAATGTTTGCCATCAGAAAACACGTTTACACTAAGTGGTTCTTATAAAACTACCTAACCTGTTTATGTTCTTCAAAAGGCTTTGCGGGTGTTAAAGAATTAATCTTTAATTGCAGTAAGAGCCAGGATTTGCTAACAGGATTGAATGAATATATAGTCCAAAGCAGTGATATTTAAACAAAAGCCAAATAATGACTGTGTGAATGCATTTATATCCTCAGTAGAGGAAAGACAGAATTCCAAAGGCTTGTAGCCACACTAGGATGTACACACTGGAGGTTACAAATCTGTGAGCTGTAGGGATGAGGTGCAAGAGAGTATCTGTAGGTGTCTGCAGCTGAAGGGGTAATCCTGATGAATCAGCTGAACAAACTGGCTCTTAAGCAGCAATCATTTTGAGTTTTAGCAGGATGTTAGTGTCACTGGTGCAGGTGAAGTTGTCAAGAACAGGATGTGGGCCTGCAGTGAGCAGCTGGCAGAAGCTGCCAATCTCGGCACTTGTGTATGGTGAAGCAGCAGGATTGTGAAGCCCAGGCAGGATGAAGCTGTGGTTTCATCTTGGCTTTCAAACACGAGCAGGCAGAGTGGAGGTGATAAACAATCAGATTAGTAGTGTCACAGAAAGGGCTTTCTGGCTGTTTTTTTTTTGTTTGTTTGTTTGTTTTTGTTTGTTTGTTTCTTTCTTTCTTTCTTTCTTTTTCTTCTTTTCTTTAGAGTTGTAAATTCACACTCTTTAGGATTCCAGCTACCTAGAGGAAGTAATTAGCTCTCCAGTCACAGGAAGATGTCAGGGAGGGAAGGAAGGTGAGCAGGAGGAGTCTGAGAGGAGCCAAACAGAGCAAGAACAGTTAATTTGGAGACAGGAGACCTTGCTGGAGTGAGAGTGCCTGGGAGTGGCACCCTGCTGTCTAGAAAAGTCCTGTAGGTGTAGTAGGTAGTGCTGGAAAGAAATGTTAACAAGTATTGAATGAATAGCTCAGGCAGTGCTGGTGTGTGGGTCATGTAAGAATAGACTAAAATAGAGCAGAAATAGAGAGAAGGTGGCAGAAGGAACTGGCTCATGTCATGTACAAACCAGCATCAGTGGACTTGGTGATACAGACTCCCTTCACTTGGCACTAGCTCCAGGCATGCAAACGTTACGCTCAGCATGGCACTACTGCCCTGGCTGGTGGTTGGGCAAATACGCAAATTTCAGCACGTGAAGATGACTGTTTGGTACTGCCAGCACATTTAATCACAGAATCACCTAGGTTGGAAGAGACCTCAAAGATCACCAAGTCCAACCTCTGACCTAACACTAAGAAGTCCTCCAACTACACCATATCACTAAGCTAATGAGACAACGTTCATGAGTCTTGAGTTCTTAGGAAGCATAATGTGGAACTGGGACATAACTACACAAACACCTATACAAAACTTTGCAGAAATGCAACATCTAGTGTAAGCCTCTTTGGTACTTACCCCACCATAGATCTTTGTATGTGGGTAATCTGACAGCAGATGTGGTTTGAATACAATGGAGCTAGCCTCCAGTAGTTATTCTGATCTCTGGTTCAAATTTCAAGGACTTTTTCTTGGTCAGTAATGAGTCTGGACTGAAAACAACTCTGCCAGAAGAAAAAACTCCCTTTCTTCCTGTCTCCCTCCCAGAAATGTTGATTTCTGGGTGGCTCAGAACAACTCCAATTTGAAGGAAGTGGTGCACAGAGCTGACAGAAATCTCAAGGAATCAAAAGAAAGTATTGAAGCACGCATATAGTGGCAACATCTGGAGCGTAGTTGCTCAGGAGGCAGAGGGGAAGGGAGAACACACGAGGGTAGGAGCTAATGTGGGGCTGGAGGCAGGCTGTGGTGGTGACGGGTAGTTGGAAATACTGCCGTACCTGCACAGTTGGTCACGCGCCGCGGCACACCCCGGGCTGGCCGGCTGGGAGCCAGCTTGCATGCACAAGTCATGGAGCTGCTCTGGTGCCATCGGAGCGCTATGGCAGTGAGCCCTGTCAGGGCTGGTACTGCTGCTCGGGCGCGCTGCCAGCGTGGTTACACAGCTTTTGCAGGAGGTCTGGCCCTCCTCCAGCGAGGACGGAGCTCAGGCAGCATGGGCATGCCTTTGCTTGCCCTTCATTGTGTAGATAAGCTCAGCTGCACATGGTTATCCAGGATGTGAACTTCTACTCCCTCTGTGAATGTTTCCATTTTGCTAAGAGAGCAGCCTGCCTTGCAGAGAGGGCTTTCCTAACATGGGCTTCAGGTGCCAGGCAGGGAGGCCGTTACAGAAAGCCTGTTGCTGTGTCAGTTCACACCTGCACCTCCTGCTCACTGCCGTTTTGATGTAGATGGGTCCAGTGAGGAGAAATCTGCATAGTCTCCACTAGTGTGGCAGGCTTGTACAAGTAAAGACCAGCTGAAGACTGGAGGGAAGGATTGGTAGGAGAACTGCATGGAAGCAGGTAGTCAGGAGGGAATCCGTCTGCCAAAAGGGAGGTACTAGCTCTTTCTCTTCAACCTTTGCTAAGAAAAGCGTGCATTCTTTGTCAGCAGCTCCATTTCTGTCTTGTTCCAAGTCTTACAGTTTTTTATTCCTGTGCCAGACTGTCTTATCTTTCTAACTGTCCTTTACATAGAGACTGCTATCTTGCCCTGTACTTTCCTCTCCCCAAACACCCTGGTATTCTTTTTTTTTTTTTTTTTCACTCACATGTGTGTGTAAATGTTTTAATGTTCAATTTCCCTTACTTTGTGCTCCCATATGAGAGAGGCATCTTAACGAATGTCATCTCCCTCCACTCTGGTCTGCAAGAGAAAACAATTCCCTAGCCCAATTGACACACATGTTTAGAAATGTTTTTTTGTGCTGATTGTATAATAGCTTGTTCTGCTACGGGATGTGCACACCAGTGGTTGGGCTCATTGATCTGCAGGTTCTCTGATCCGCATTTGCAAATCAGGAAAAGGAGCCCTTTCTACTGCTGATATTATTATTTCTAAAGATTCATCAAGCGTTACAAAGGGCAACATTCATTGCTTAGGCTGCTCTCATCTTATATGTGTGCTTTTAAAAAGAGGTTAAAAAAAAACACAACTAAAACCAAGTCTCCAGTCCCCCAAGCTGCGGGTCAGTGCTACTCCTTGTACAGAGTACGAAGTTTATCTTCCGCACCCCAAGCACAGGCATGCACAATCTATGCCTGGAGCACTGCCTTTGACAAACACTCCTGTTCTTTAGGAGCTGGCAGGATATGTAGTATGCACTGGTGGGTTTCAGGAACGTCCCCTTTTGCAGGACAAGGCATGCATGACCGAAGGCATTGCAGAAATCTCACTGTTTTAAGTGGCTTTGCTTTTTCTACATAAATTCTGTTTTAAGATGGGCTTTCTGACTTTAAGTGCCCAGTTGCTGACTGTATCTTGGGTGAACTGTATTTGTAACCAGCAAAGTGTAGGTCGATCTTAATGTAATTAAACATACACATACACCCAGGTCAAATGATGTCTCGTGCTACGATAGCTGGATGTAGGCTTCACAAAACCAGCAAGAGCTGTGCTATTTGATCATTTGAGGATTTTCTTCAACTATGAACTTTTATTTAGAAACAAACAAAACCATTTTTAGTTGCAGATGTATGCTAGCCAGAGAAATGAACTTTATGGTCCTCCTTTATATGTCACAGCCTTTGAACTGACCGGTTCATCTAATTCTTATCTGACTTTTGTGCAAATTAGGAGTTAAGTCAATTGACATTCTCTTGTGACCTGAATCAAAAACATACTGTATCTGTTACTGTCAGGGGTGGGGTTGGGTCATTTTGGAAAAGCAGGGCTGCTTTTCATAAGTATTTGTCTTGCTTTAGTTTCCTGAGATATAGTTCAAATGTAAACTGCTCTGTATGTTTCAGCTTTTGTGCTAGCTAGCTATATCACATCACACTGTCTCACATACTATATACAAGTATGGCACTACATCTTGCTGTGGTGATTATTTGAAAGGGCGTACACTCTGTTTTGGACTAGATATCTGTTATCAGTGTAGATAATTGCAGTCAGGCACAAAATAGACTCAGTAAACAAACATTTCATTTTATCATGTGATAAATGTCTACTGTTTTGTCCAATTTATTTGAACGATGTTCACTATAAATCAGCACTGCTTCAAAAGCAACAAATCCAACTTGCCCAAAAGTGATTACTTTATACTAGAAATTAACGTTTCATTGTTTTGTATATGTGGTTGCAATTTTCAATGTTTGGGGATAACAATGTTTGACATAAACAAATAATTCACATCTAAGACTAAACAATTCCTCCTACCACCCTCACTGTTGTTTTTCTCCTTTGCGGTATTTTTGGGCTTCTTTTCTTTTTTAATCCTTCATTTGCTCTCTGGTAAAGACAAGACTACCTTCCATTTTGGAGTATGTACTTTAAATTTAGACTTTCAAAGAGAGAAATGAATTTCAATTTAGCATATACAGAAGAACTTAAAAGGACAATTAAAATATTTTATTTTTTTTTGTAATGTGGAAAATGAACATGAAGCTTGTTTGTGTTCCTGTTTGTTCTGTGACCAAAAGGGACTTTATTATTTGATAGATGTAACATATGTATTGCTTTCTTTCTCTAAATGTAGCACATCTGTATAATCTTCTGCAGGTCCTGTGCCTAGGAGCGAGTGCGTCTTATCACCTGTTAACAATTCGCACCCAGTCCATGCTTTACTGGAGAGTTTTACCGTCTTATCTGGCTGTGCAAGCCGAGGCACAACGGGCCTGCCACAAGAGGTGCATGTCCTCAATCTCAGAAATCCTGAGGAAGGTCTTGGCCACCATGAAAGAGAGGTAAAGGGGTAGTTGCTTTTCTTACAGATCCCTGGCTATGTGTGTCTAAAAATGGGATTGTTTCATGTTTATTTGCTGAATAAAGTTATTTTTGAATTGTGAACAGCAAGACTACAAAGAAGCCTGCACAATTTGTATGGATACTGTCCACAGATGCTTTGCGTGTCATAAGACTAAACCACTTCCATACCCAGCCATTCTCTCCATCACCTTTCACAACCACGAAGTATGGTTTAAAAAGTCGGTGGGGTGGGCAAAGGAAATAAGAAACAGATTTGGATCTACAAGAGGCCTTTACAGAATTGGCTGTCTTCAAAGCTAGATCGTTTACCTAAATGTGTTGTAAATTAACATGAATACGTTTGGATCCCTGCCATGACCACTATAAACAAATATTTAAGTTCAGATTTTTTTAGCCCTGTAATACATCCTTAATGCTTCACTGAGGGGGAAATGCTGAACAGAAATCAAGTGTTACTGACTATGGTAGTTCTTCAGTACAGTCCAATTACTTATTTATGTACGTTGCACTTGGAGGGACTGTCAAGAACTTCAGCTGCTCTGGAAGCAACAGCTCGAGAAGAAAATTTTTGATGTTAGCTTGTGCAGTACTGTTGTTTACTCTCAAAACACATCAAAACATAGTGCTGAAGTGAAAAGAAAACATTGCATGCCATGACAGCTGAGTTTCTTAGTTCATGTTCTTACAGTATTACACATACAAATCCTGAGCACTGCTTCCTGTGAGAGCAATGTGTATGTACAAAATTAGTAGAGTTAGTAATGAGAGAACAAAGATGATGATCCAGCAGATGGAAACTTAGAAAAAGAGCTATATTTTTGCTGGAAGAACTTTTAAGTGGAATCTTTTATAGTGTGTTAAATTCAGGCAAATACTCTTGGCCATAATCAAAGCTTTCACTAACTTTGATAGCCAGTGGGGTTTGTTGTATGCATCCATGGATCTTCAGCTGTTGTATACATTTTCACTATTTACACTGACTAAAATGTCTAGTGTATGATGAAAAACTTATTTATTTTTTAAGTAGGCATCTTATTGGTTGCCCTTAATCAAAAACATCAGATTTACTTCTATTCATTCCATAACAGTTGAACTGAAAAATTACACTTATTTTGTGTGGGGCTGAGAATGAGGAACAGAGATTTTGTTGTTGTCTTGGAGTTTGCAAGGCACAAGATTGTCAGTGGAAAAAAAGGTAGGTATAGTAATTTCTTTGGACATGTAAAACCCATTGTAGTTTTTTTTTTTTTTTCCAATATAGTTTCCTATGGAAACTAAAAGCCTTGTGTAGTTCTGCTATGTATTTGTCAGAGCTTCTCTCATCACCCAAGAACTTTTAAGTCCATTGGCAAGTCTTAGACAAATTTGGTCTGACGGGTAGGTCTCACAAGGTAATCACAAGTTCTGTTGAAAAAGGGGCAGAAGAGTGCCCTGGCTGTAGGCACACAATGTAGCATCAGTTTATAACCTCTTAGTTACCAAAGGGTGCCTGAGCATGGGGGGAAACTGGCTACAGCTAGAGTTTGTACCTCCCACGGGGCCAGAATGAATCAAATGCAGGGCTTAAATTTGCATAAAACTAAATTTCGCCCTGTTTTGATGTTCTTAGCACTACTTGTGTAACAGTGTAGTTTGACTGCAGTTATGCATGCACAATGTGAACTAGTTTCACGTGTGCGCGAGGTTGCAGACTGTGCCAGTACTGTCTAATTGTCTTGACAGAATGATAGAAGTTTTAAATATTTGGCTTTGAATAAACATAGTTGCTGTCTAGGAGAGAGATGCTTTGTGCCTCATCTAACATGCTAACATTTTGAAAGCAGTTTGCCCCAACTGTCTTTTCTGCACACCTCTGTGGTGTACTAAAGTGTAGGGCATAGAATGTATTTCACAATGTGTAGCCCTTAGCTTCCTTCACCCAGCTGTTTTCCAGTTACAGTTCTTGGAGATGCCTGCTCTGAAAATGAACAGGAAGCTAGAGCAAGGTTTGCTGGCAACAGTGTAGAGCAAGAGAGAACAAACAACTTGGAAAGACCAGTTTTTACTTAAAGGATCAGTCAGAAAACAAAGCAGAGCAAATGTTATCTCTTTCCATTATTGTACAAATGAACTCCAAATGTCCTTTTGTCTTAAAGTAGAAGGTACCCATCACCTCAGGTTAAATTAGTTTGATTTACCAGCTGAGGTATTTCCTGTTGCCTGCAAAGCTGATAGCAAAGGTGGAGATATGTTATACAGTATAGCCAATGTACTCCAGGATAAAAATAGTATTTTTGTTTGACAGTACAAATCTAGCTAGAATCTGCAGCACTGAAAGTGCTTAAAATCAATCATGCATTTATTCAGAGGCTGGTTGAAGTTCTAATAACATACAGTGCGAGGTCTGAAAATCTCTTAAGCAAGGGCTTGCTTTGGGACAGGAGAGGTTGGGTTTTCTTTTGTTTTTAACCTACCCTGTGTAGATGCTGCTGAATTAAACATTCTTTACTTGCTCAGAGGAGTGTAAACTTCCCATAGCAAATTTGCTAGAGGACTTACACATTAAACATACATGTATTTGTGCAGTTATCCTGGTTCTCTTGAATATGCAACATATGTGTAGGAATTAATTTAATACTTGGCACATCCGTACTGTATACAGACAAGCATTTGCAAATTTAAACATAGGAGGGGTGGCTAATGCTGAGGGAGGGCATGGCAGAGGTGTGTGTTCCTTCTGTAATGCTTGTAGACTTTTTTTGTAACAATTTAGTAAGGTTTGGGTACTTTTATCTTGCCTGGAAATGGAAAATCTAGATAAACTGGAAATGTATTATGTATTCTGACTTCCTTGCAAAACTAAATCAGTAATTTATCACTTTCAGGTTAAGGCTGAAATCTCATAAATATAAGGTCATATGAAATGCTGTTTTTTTTTATTTATTTTTAAATTTATTTATTCATTATTTATTATTTATATTTAAATTTATTTTTATTTTACTTTGTTAATCTTTGTTGGGATGACATCTCGTTTGTTGAGACTGTCAAGACATTTTCTTCAAGAAAGACCCCCAAAATTCCAGTCTTTTTGAAGTATTTCTTAGAACTGTCTTTTATTGCAATTCATATTGGCCGTGCTTTATCATAGGAAATAGAATACGGGTGCATGTAATAGGCACGAGTGTTTTTATTAAGCTTGGCATGAAGAATGCAAGCTTTTTTGTTTGTTTTGTTTGATCAAATATTCCTGGGGAAGTGAGTGCATGTGTGCAGTTCTGCACTGATCTGGGTCTCAGCTGAAAGCCAGGAACTACTGAACATTTACAGGGACTTTCTCTTTGGCTTTGGGTGTCTTTACTGCTTGAGTTTCCCAGATTGTAGAAAAACTTACTTTTTGTGAAACCGCTCATTCTGAGAAAGAATTGTTGTTTGTGAAGACAATTGTATTTCTAGTGATTTGCACCAGAAAAATATGTATAGAAAAAATTAAAAATATATTTTGAGATGAAAATAACTCCTTAAATAGGTATATTATCAAGTCTTAAAATAATGAAGAATTCATTATTAAATGACATACATGTCATTTGAGTTTCCCTGAGCTGCTTCAGGCATGCAGCCACAATGGAATAGTTAAAGGGGGGGTGGAGGCAAAGGGATATAAAATTAATCTCATGTGAATACTTAGGACTGAATACATGTGACTGCACGGAATCAGAATTCCTGGCAATGGATTCACTATTGTTTTCGTTGACATCCTCATCCTCAATAGGCTGTAATAATTGCAGAGACTTCTCACTGTTAAATCAGTGTTACTTGGAAGAAAAAAATCATGATGATTATTTTCCTTTGAGAGTAAACTTGGTATGAAAATGCGTGTTAGTTTCTATAGAGCAGGCTAATTATATAGCCAGGTACTTTCTAGGGAAGTAGCCTCAGATTCCTGAGCTGACCTGCTTATAGTCATAAAATGATAGGCAATATCACTTAAATCTGATATTTAAGTATTTTCTGAAAAGCTTGTGAGTTGTAAAACTGGAACAGGAAAAGACACTGAAACAGTCCCCTGATAACATATTTCTACATCCGGATGTTTGCTATGCATCCTGAATTCAGGATAGTTCTTCTCTGTCAAAATGGTTTTGTATTTTAGGACTCTGAAGATCTGGACAACGAGCATAAAATCCTGGTTCATTTTGCCTATTTTTTTCTACATTTGCTATATTTCCCAGTGTGTTAATTTTAACTATTTTCAGAAGCTTGCTTCAAGAATTATTCTTAACATACTGTTAAGAAATCAGTTTTAGCTTGGAGTTGTACATTTGCAAATGCTAGGTATTACATACTTTATGGAAAAGTGCTGATTTATGAACCTGAAATTGCCTAACAGCTGTGTGTCCCAGCTCTTTAAACTGTCTCAAATACTTTCAGATATGCTGGCAAGTGGCTTACATCAACACTTACTTTGTATAATGCATGTGGAATCAGAATAAGTGTGCCTTTGGCATTTTGTTGCTTTCCCGGTAGGTATTATTAATTCATTTCTTCATCTTTGTGGGATGATGACCTTGCAGATGGGTCCACGCATGTACGTAACCAGGTGGAATTCCATTTCCTGAATTATGGAAGTGTTCCCAGAGTAGAAGTTTCTGGAGAAACAGCATTACAGGCATTATTTTGGCACTTCAATTTCCATGCTAATTCTCCTAACTTCAAATGTTGAGACAGTTACCTTGCTCCCTTTTTCACACTTCCTCCTGGTTGTACCTGTTAACTTTCTTTATTCTCCCTGCACAATTAATATATTGTGATTACCTTGTGACTCTTTCTGTCCTTTGGGTTCTAGATTTCTATTTTTATTTATAATTTTCAGAACTAGATGCCTTAAATTACTCAAATTACACCACAGCAGCCCTACTGTGGCTGCATCAAGGAAAATATTTGTTTCATGCTTAGGCATCCAGAGATCTGGGAACAGCCTTGAGATACAGCTTTGATAAAG